GTAAGAGTAACGTTATTTGTCATCGATCTAAATGGTAATTGCGGATATTAAATAATAGATTCATTTAAATACAGAACTGCGTTACTCATTTAATTGAACTTATAAAATATAATAACCTAAACAAATGTTCTAACACTACTGATACTAAATAACATTATTATATTTTTAATTCTATGTGCATTTGATAGTTCCAGAGCCCTGCTACAAGTACAGGGGTCTGATTTACAGGCCCCTTTCAGACAACACATATTGGGTTGGTGGGCTACATTTTATTTTAATACAGTGGTGGGGTCTCGGCTACAATGAAAGGGCCTGTAATGCCTCTGTAAAAACGCCTCTGTACTTGAGGAATTGCTCTAGTTCCCAATGGATAGTCTAGAGGATTCCTTTATAGTACATTTTCAAAATGTTTTCCACTTATTTATGATTTGGAATCTCCATTATTTTCAAATACCATTAAGAGTTTGTTTGGGACACATTCTTTTGAAAGAATGCATTATTGAATAATAGATTGATGAAGAATGTGTGGTTAAAAATAAAGGAAAAATTATTGATGTGATGGAAAATATTATTTTATTGAAGAATGTGTGGTTGAAAATTAGTAGAAGAATAAGAATGAAAAAAATAATGTGTACCAAACAAGGATTAAGAAAGAGGTAGGTGGGAATAGACAGCTGTCCAGTATGGAGGTTTGTGCGTGCATGCATGCATGTAGATGAATATGAAGTTTGGTAGAGGCTTCGTGAAAGATCTGTACTAATACATTTAATAATTGTGGTGTGGACCCACCCAGTCTCCTATATTTCAACTCACCGCTCAATTAAAAAAATAAATAAATTACTCAACGCTCTAGTCTCTAGACAATATTAGGGTAATTAAATAAAAATTCTCTTATTTATGAAAATTAGGTTGCATTTGATTGGCAATCGTGGAAAATGAGTGGAAATAAAATGATTTTCTGAAAAAATAATTGCTTAGAAAATATTTTATGGAGAATTGTTAATTAAGTGTATTTGATTGGTATAATTTTTCACCCGTAAAATTTTTAAATTTTCTGTTCATTTGATTTTGTTTTATATGAAAATTGTTTATTAAAGTGATAATTTTTCTGTATAGCAGATCTTGTATTCTAACATGTTGAAGCACATCTCGCGATGTACCTCATCCACAATGCTCTAGGGTAGGGTAAGGTGGGGGCGGGGCGGGGCTTCAACCTTTTTAATAATGGTTGGGTACGATGAAAACTTTGATTTGACATTTTGATATACACCGCATTGAATGCTGCATAGAGGTCCGTGCCTACCCACACCATTTCTTACCTGCCCGCCTTGCTCATTTCCCCAGTAGAATAGTTATATCAACGGCCGACATAATTTTTACTTTCACTTTACTCTAAGGGCGTGTTTGATACGCC